GTCTCTTATCGCATTGCCAGTTGATCGATTTTTGCCTTAACCAATTTTCGCAATGCTTAAACAGGCGACACGCCCCAAAGACCCTAGACCCTAGACCCAAGACTCTAGACCATGTCACCAGTTGCCATCCAAGGCCCACCCTGGACAATTGTCATTATAATAAGGTTATGTAGCTCTGACATATCCGTGTTTTCAACGCTTGCCCCCGCTCATCCCCACCCACCTTGTCGCTTGCCTCATTTGGTTCCATTGGCTGACCTTGAACGCTGCTCTTTATATTGATTTCTTTTTTAAGTTAATTAAAAAGCGCTGGTTGCGAAATGAAGCTCAGCCATTAAACCAAATGAGCCAAGCGAAATGTGGCGCCCCTCGCTTAAATTAGACTAATCGAAAAGAAGAAGCAGAACAAGTGAAGAAGAATAAAAACTAGATACGCAGCAATTGAGCAGCAGTAATTGTCATAATTAAGTGCAGAGGAGTACGCGGAGCTGGTAACCGTATCAAGTGCCGGCTGCTCTTGGTGGGAACCTCGAGTGGTCGAGTTCCTCATAAATGTAAGTGATACGGCAGCTCAGACCCGATTCACTTCCGGCAAATAGGTGGGCAACTAAGTGCCGGGCGGAAGAATTGCCCATGTTCTGTTCTGTTTTTTTTTTTTTTAGGTTTGAAAGTAAACTTAATACCTCTGTTTTGGGCTTCAGATTGATTCTAGTTCACAAGGGAATAGAAGATCATGAATTTCATTCAGTTTTGGGGTTTAGCTTGTTTAAAAAAATGAAAGTTCTTAAGCTCTTGCAGAGATTTTTAATTTTATTCTTTTTATTCTTTGAAGATCTATTTATGCTACATTCGGGAGTATTTGTTTGGTCGAATTTCTCTGTTCCTTATCTAACTTTATTTACTTGCAATTTTCTATACTTTTTCTAAAATAATAGCTAAAATACAGAAATATTTTATCTATGAATTCTTAAGCTCGACTAAATTTTTAACTCTGTTATTTAATTTGTATTTGCTTTGATGTAAGTCCTAAATATATTTACTTTTGGTTAAAAAGAAGTGCAACTCGATGAGTTGATAAGACATCTTCAATCTCATACTATATATATGATCTTCTTCTTGTTCAATGAGACGAGCAGATGTATCTATGCGCCCGCCCGTCTTGGCCTTTATAAGTCTGCCTTTAAACTAGTTTCTAAATTGTAATACTATGATATCGTCTACAGCATATGGTTGTCCTACAACCTTCTTGTCGCCTTAAGAGGTTTTTGATAGATATTTGACTCACATTCACATTACGTTCATTATGTTCTTTACATATCAGTAAACCTTTATTGACCTGGAACAACTATATGCTAAGGTCCTCTTATCTATTGGAAATTAAATCATATATGAACAACTTTTTTGTTTTTTAAAGTATGTCTAACAAACTGCTCGATAAAGCGCTTTATTTTTACTGATACATATGACTTATCTACTGGACTTATGCTGCCTCCTTTCTAAAGAGTCCTGTTTTAATATTTGTATTATCCTTTATAGCAGCTAGCTAATGCCCAATGCTCCTTTTTTTCTAACTATTTTTTCATCTATCTATAGCTACATAATATATATATATATATATATGTACCCCATCTGTATCCATCGCATTTCAGCCGCCGCATTGCCTCCTCTTCGGGCCCATTTTCCCATTAGCCTTTTCCCATTTACATTTGCGTTGGTGTTTGCTCAACCCGGCCCGAACGCAACGCTGGTCGACCGTGTCACAAAATCAATTAAAAAACTGCCTCATTCGCTGCAACAACGCACCACGGGGCCCCCCTTTGCACCGCACAAATGCTCCCAGTGCCCGACTCGGGCCTGGGCCTCGTCTATTTGTCCGGCGTAAATGTCGGCACTGGACAAACATAAAATTTTTCCGCAAAAACTAGCGCAAAAATAAAACGCACAAGAACTGCAGGTAAACAGCGTCCAGAGAGCAGCCCCTGGCAAGCGGCCGCGCCCAAGCGACGCACCAGCCAACCCACCCAGCCCCCGCAATAAGCCGCCCAAACGCCCAGCCACACCCACTGAAAAGAGCGAACGACTAATTTTTGTCGTGCACGGTCAACTTTTGTAATTTCCGTAGCATTTGGGCGCGTCAGACGGCGACGCTTGTCGAGCAATTATGCCACTTGCCACTTGCTGCAATAGCTGCCCCTTGGCTAAGCTGCCACGCCCAGCCAGACAACCGCCCATCCAACCAGCCAGCCAGCCACCCAGACACACAGCCCATCTCAATGCCTGCCTCATCTGTTGGGCTTTGGGCTTTGCCACAGTCTCTTGTTGTCTGCATAAATCAAATATTTGCTAATAACTCAGCAAACACACACACACACGCAGAGTTAGTTAGACTGTTGTGCGGCGCCACTTCCGGTTGCAACTGTTGAACTTTGTTGTATGTGCCGTGCAATGCAATCAACATGAAAATAATTAATACAAAAGCATTTTAAGCTTCACATGTGTGTGTGAGTATGTGCTTGAGTGTGTGCGTGTACGTGTGTTTGCGCTGCAATATGAGCTTACGCTCGCCATTTTTTTAAATTTTTAATTAAATTGCAACAAATGCTGCATACTTAGAGGCGCAATTTGTTTAAATCGAATTAAATGCGACGTTTAAATTGAATTTGCGGCTAGCTGTGCGACACCCACGCCACGCCACGCCCCCATTTCTATCCGTTGTTCTAGTTATATAACTATCTATTCCTCCGCCGCGCGCTGTGTTAATTGTGCTGCGGGAAAATTGCGATTAGCTTGCATCCAGCGGCGCGGCAATTTCCCTTAATTCACACCCCGCCTCTACACTCTTTCTCTCCCAAGTCCAGCTAAACGCAACAAATAGAAAACAGTCTAAGCTATTTCCGAGTATTGGATACTCAAAATTAGAATCCATTGAAGCTTTTAGCTATTGTTTACATTTATTAGCACTTAATTGTCTTTTCTCCAACAACATTGATGAATAGATAAATCAGGGATTAACTCCGAGAATTCCCCTTATGCTCGTGCACAGTCCCAGCATAAGGGGACTACCCAGCAAACTTATTAAGAGGCATCGATTGAAGGATGCTATGATATGCTAGGACTGAGCTTTGGGACAACTATACTTCATTCCAAATAAGATCATTCCAACTGCAAGACTGTGGGATATAAACACTTTTGCGATTTGTTACGCTCCATGTGGGCGAAGTCATATAATCTTAATGTATATTCTAAGTTTCTAAGTCTAAAATCAATAATGCCGAAAGAATTGGCTAATATGTACAGACGGACTGACAGACGGACGAACGGCTCGGATGGACATCAAGTCGAATATGGGACAAAACCAATTTATAGACTCTTTTCACTTTTTTGAACGAGTATAAGAATTGGTATCTACGCTTTTCCTTGTTACACCTTATTCTACGAATATATATAGTTTGAATTCAATATTTCTATACCCTGTTACTAGAGGGGAAAAAAAGGTAATTTGGTGTTGCATACACAGTTTTGTTTTCTTAATTTACAGCTGATATTTAATGATTAACATTTATTTCTGGCACGCCCATTTCCGACGTCGTTGTCAGCAACGCCCCTTTTTTTTTAATGGTTTAGAGCTTGATTTTAAACCGGAAAGAGAGTATGTTGTAAGCTATTCGGATTGTAAAGTCTATGTTTGTCTTCTCTATTCACCTCAATCTTATTAAACATTATTAACATTTAAACAAAAGACTGACATTTGAAAAAATGCCCTAAGACTTAGAAGATCTTATGTGTGAAAGGCCATTTTTTGTTTACATTAATATATATGTTTTTAATTATATAATTTCGACATCTCCCAAAGAGTATAGTATATATGTATGTATATATAGTGTGCGTCTGTCTTTTGCTTTGCAAACTAATCTCTAATTTTTTATGCTTCTTTCTGTTGCCGGAAACGGACAGAAAGAACGGACCACTATATCATATAGCTGCCATACAATCGGTCAAAAATAAAGGTCTCGCTTGAGCAAATTTTTGTTTTTGAAGCTATCTTAAGAAAACTTGGCACAAACGGATTCTAACATGCTTCTTACAGATGAACCAAGACTTAACAATATCGGACAACTTTACAACTATATCGGACAGCTTTTCCGTTTTTCAAGATATCTTCAACAAAGTCCGCAATTGCAATTCCTCTAATTTATTTAAACCTCGTTCGTTAAGGTATTCTGAAACTGTCTCGAACTGCATTTGGGGGCAATCAGTGCCACGCCCACAGCTCAGATACCATCGACAGCACTCAAGATAATTATGTGCAAGCCGGAAAACTGTGTCAGTCGTTGGCGGCAAGTGAAAATGAGCAAGAAAACGGCTAGTTGGAAGCAACGGCAGATGAAAAATGAATAATAAATAATAAATAATAAGAAATGGTCGAGGGGGGGAGAAAGGAAATATAACAAGACAAGCCAAAACCGAAAAGCATGGGCTGCCTGGCCATTGACTATGAAAACTGACCACTGACTTGTCCAGAAGCGACGGGTGGAGGTTGGTGGGAGGTGGGTGGTGGGCAGCTAATTAGACGGCGTGTCGGCAGCCAGCAAAGTGTGAAAATGGGCAGCGCACAGTGGGTGGATTGGCCAGCGATGGGTGCAAGTGGATTGGGATTGGATTGAAATTGGAATTGGATTGGAATTGGAATTGGATTGGAATTGGATTGGATTGCATTCGACTGGCACGCGACGCTATTTGCTCAGGCGTAACTCCATGGCAAGCCCGCTCGCCCGCCCGATCTGCTCCAGCTGCTCATTTGCATATGCAAACTTTCTATGGGAGCAATGCGAATAATTTATGCTGATGAGCTAGACGAACTTTTTCATTTGTGTGTTGAGCGAGTGGCAGGCAGGGGCGGGGGAATCGGATTACGTGCAGCTTTGATGTTTCGCATATATGCCATGTAGGCATGCAGATATCTAACATATGTATATGTATGCATTACACGTGCCACTTACCCTTGAGCAGATGCTGCAAGATGTTGTCCTTGTGCTCCTCGGAGTGCGGCTCGCCCATTACAATTAGCAGATAGCAGCCGGTTAGCGGGCTGGGCGGTCCCACAATGCCGCCGGCCAAGCTGGAGGCGCCACCGCCATCCGAGCAGGCGGTATCCAGCGGCGGACGCCCGCCAATTTCCGACGGCGGCAATGAGCTGGCGCCCGCTCCAGTGGTCGCATCATCGCCAGCCTCGCCAGCATCGGCAGCAGCGCTGCCGCCAGCTGCACCCACGCCATCTGCATCCACTTGCCCGGGCGGCGGCGGCAATGGAGCCGTAGCTGGTACATGCACCTCCACCTGCCCTAGCTGCTGGGGCGGATCAGCACTCCCGTTGCCGTTGCCGTTCCCGTTCCCGTTGCCATTCCCGTTGCCATTGCCGTTGCCATTCCCATTCCCGTTGGTTTGGACGGGGCCTTCCGGAGCGGTTGCTGCCATGATGGCTGCTTCACTAGTTCCTACACCAGCTGCTGCTGCTGCTGCTCCTCCTGGTGTTGTTGTTGTTGTTGTCGCCTTTGGCCGATCTCCCATCACAGTTGTTGCTCTTGTTCTCACAGACACGGGCACACTAAAAAAAATTACCTAGCCGTACACTTGAAAAAAAAAACACGTATCGCTTTGCGCTTCGGAGTTTTTGAAACTCTACCGTACTTTTTCACACACTATGCGTGTCTCTTTCGCTCACACTGCCTCTGTCTCTATCTCTCTCTCTCTCTCTCTCTCTCTCTCTCTCTCTCTTTCACTCTCGCTCTGTGTCTGTCTCGCTCTCACTGGCTTGTCTCTGTCTTGCGCGGCGTTTTGTGGCACGTCAAATTTCTTGGAAATTTTTCGATAAAACGTCCGAAGCTCAGTCTTGACTGCTGTGGCAATTGGGCGGGCGGCTGGCTGACGGGGCGTGGCAGCTTTTGCTGCTTCACTTCACAAGCTGCGCTTCTTGCGGCTGCTTTTTGTTGTTGCTGTTGTTGTTGTTGTTGTTATTTGTTGTACTTTTTGTTTGCTGGCCGTGACTTGGGCGCTTTTTTTTATGAGTTCTTCACTTCAGTTTTTTTTGTCTCTGCAATTTTTTGCTTAATTGGTTATTTTCTTTATATGCGAAATTATAGGTTTTTTTATTTATATTTATTTATTTATTGTTTTAATATTTTTTTTTTTTGCTTTCAATTTTCTTTTTGTTTTCTTATTTGTTGTGCACACTTCGAAGCTGTGTTAGTTGCTTTTGGGTTTTCTTGAAATTAAATTAGATTCGTTTTGTTTTTTACTTTTTTGCGTTTGGGAATTTTTTAACAATATTTGGTTTTTTTTGCTGGAGTAAATTTTGCGGCAATTGGCGTGTTGATTTTTGTTTTAGTTTATTTTTCTTTCAATATTATGAGTTAAATATAATTTTTCTTTTTTTTTCTGTAGATTTGGACTAGCTTTTACTTGTAGCAATGCTTTTTTTGTTTTTGGTTTGGTTTTTAATATTTTAATTAATAATAATTGTCCATTTGGTTTAGTAATGTGTGTGTGTGTTTATATGTGTGTGTGTGTGTGAGTTTTTTTAATATGCAAATTTAAACTTTTGTTTTCTGCTTACGAGTGACGTCTATATATATATATTCATATATATATATACTTTTTTTTAATGTCTTTATTTGGTTTTTCTTCTGCTGCTTTTTTGGTTTGTTTTTTTTTTTTAATTTTTTTAGCTTTCCTTCGTTTGCTAGCTGAATATCTTTGGATCTGCAAATAAAAGAGCGAAAAAAAGGGGAAATTTGTGTTATAAGCGCGGCTTGACATATGCTAATATATATTTCAAATGGAGAGGAGAAGCGACGGAAACGTAGAACTTATTAACTTTTGGCAAAGTATCTAGAGTATCGATGATTTTCCTGTATATGTCAATCAGTACAAAGTGCCTTTGCCCATTTTCTAAGCTCTATGAGTTTCAATATATATTGTAAAAATTGAATTTTACACAAAGTTCTATTGTTGACCTAAGCTATTGAAAGTCGTCCCATTTTACTTTTATTTCCAGTTAATCAGCTCAAGTGGCTCTGCAAGAGTTTTAGAAGTAATTTTTTTTTCCAGTTCCACACAACTTGCAACAACAATTTGCTGTTCGTCGCTGCACTTATGACAACCTGAAAAGACGCACACATATATAGAACTAGCCAGGTCCGAGGCAAGCCTCTAATGCCGCACGGCCCAACGGACTGACGGGCCGACGGGCCGACAGGCCGACGGCCAGTTCCATCAGCCAGACGAGCCAAACAGCCAAACAGCCAAGGAGCTATAAAAAGCCATAGACAGGCTCCGCATATAAATGCATTGAACTTTGGCCGTGTTGCTGGCAACAACAACGACAACAGCCACAAATTGCACACATGCAGCAACCACACACACACACACACACACACATAGGCACACACACCCCAAAAAGATGTCGTCATCGCTCCATGGCAACGACAACGACGACAACGTCGACGTCATCAGGCGCTGGTGTTGCCTGACTGAATGTGAAAACTATAAAAAGCAACAGCAACAACAACTACAACAGCAAAAGCAACAGAAGCAACAGAAACAACAGCTATAAAAATAAAAACAAAAACAACAAGCTGAACAACTCCTTTTGATATTTTGTGTCGCGTTGTTGTTGTCATCCTGCAGTGTGTTGTTGTTAGGGCTGTTGTTGCTGCTGTTGTTGTTGTTGCTTCCTTGCGACTTGGACTTGGTCGCGTGCCTGGTCTACGTGCCCATTGCGCCTTCTCCCTTGCCACAGGCGTTGCGCTCCGCTGACGCCGCCTTTCAGTAAGTTGTTGTTGTTGTTGCTGCTGCTGTTGTTGTTGTTGTTGTTGCTGCTGTTGCTAGTGTCTCCATTGCCGCTGGTTCGTGTGGTTGGCGGCGTCGCCCGATGATTCACCCAGCCAGTCGCCGGCAAATGCAGCTACACTTGTATCTCCACACACCGCTCCACACGCACACACGCACACACGCACACACACTCACGCACACCCCATATACACACATGAGTGCTAGATATTCGAAGTACTCAGTTCTGAGAGCTGCCAAACGCAATGCAATTTTGCATTTGCTTGGGGCTATATCTCTGGGGGTCTTGGTCGTCGTGGGCACGCCTTGGTTTTGATTAATGAGTTTTTGCTATTTTTGGGCCCATATCTTTGTTTTGTTTTGTTTTCCTCTTATTATTTGCATTTGCCACCAAAAAAGCGCAGCTGCTAAAGTCAAGTGCAGGCGACCAAAAACAAGGAAGCATTTTCGCATTTGGACTGTGCTGATTTTTGCATTATTTAGTTGGAATACAAACTTCATATCCATGCAATGCTTTTACCAAACTGAATTTGTTTTAGAGATTTACTAAACTAGCTTGTGTTTATAGATAATCGAAAGCTAAAAAGGGAAGTTTAAAGTGAATTTGCATATCGTTTTCGGCTAGAGACAGTTATTGGTTGGGTTAATAGTTGGATAGTTAAAAGGTAACTATTCAAAAATAAATAATCAAACTTTCAGCATTTATTGCTCTATTATATTGAGACATTATTTATGTTTATTGTTTGATATATATTTTCGTATTATATTTTCGATTTAATGAAACCATTTTCTGCTATTGCTATTGCTATTGCTTGCTTTACAGATATTGAGCAGATCCGGTCCGAAGCCGGGATTTCAGAAATCGTGTCTATAAGCCGAAACTTAAACCTAACCAATTGTGCAGAAAACAGCCAAGCCGAAAGCCGAACCAAACCATGTTGTGTTTTAATAGTGGTTCGGTTTAAGACAGCCGCCAAGTCCTTAAAACTCTGAATGAAAATCGTATTTTGGCCGTGTATTGTGTATAAAAATATTTGCAGTACAACGGGCAATTGTATTTTAAAAATGTATATAATATCATTAAAATTTGGAAAATTAGTAAAGACTAAGTTTGTCATAGGACAAGAATGTGGAAAAACTGCTTCGCGAACTGAACCAACGAGCTGATTCAAACTGCAAATCGCAGCACTTGCAGCCCTATTCCTGATAATATCACGAGCTAGCTTCTTACTGTTAATATATATATATATTATATTATATATTATAAATATTAAATATTATATTATATATGAATATTAATACTTTTATTATTTATTTTATAATTTTTAGCATTTTCTTTATTAATAAATCAATCAATCAAGCCTTTTCCAAGTACATACAAATACATCACAGCATAAAAAAAAACCCTAAGCAACTCCAAAACTTGCTCTGCTATCGAAAACCCCCCTGGCTAAGTGAAAGAAAAGTGTTTCTTAAAATAATATATATTGCTTAACGGCTCCAATTTTGTAAGCTTTACATCTTTACATCAGCTACAGAAGAAGCAGCTTTATGGAGAATATCTGCGCGGGCTTACTTCTTATATTATATATGTTCACACTATTTTTTCATTCAAGTCACGCAAAGCTGCAGCAATTTGCAATTTAAAATTGATTGGCTGCTGATGATTGGCCAAATAGCTGCAGCAATCACTTGTACAGATCGTATTAAAGTCGAAAGACTAGAAAAAAATGTTAAAAAAAATAAATTGAAGCAGACACTTGCAACGTGCAAGAACTGAGCTGTGCAACTGAGGCGCTTAAAAGAAGTTGCAACTGAAGCCGCAATGAAACGGAACTGCGCTGAGCCTCAAGCAACTGCAGAGGAAGTTGTAGAATCAATAGGTCACACACACACACACACTCACACACACTCACACACACCAGTCGCGGCACGTGTTGTGGCTGCAAGCCGCAGAGAACTGTGGCAATTTGTTATATGATATCACCGCAAGGAAGCCACAAAAACCTCCGACCTACCAGCAGGCAAAGAAGTTGCATATACCAGCAGGCAAGAGGGCAAGAGGGCAAACGGAAGTGCCACTTGACGCACACACACACACACACAGGCACACACACCAACAAAAATTTGTCACTTTAATTTGCAATCCTCAGTTGCGAACAGAAAAAAACTTGTCAAAAAAAAAATAAGTTGAAGTTTTTTTGTAGAACTTCTCTTTTTTTTTTTTTTTTAGCTTGAATTGAATTTACTTTTTAGCTGCTGCTGCGGCTGCGGCTGCGGCTGATTTTACTGCTGCTGCTGCTGCTGCTGTTGCTGTTGTTGCGACTTCTTCTTTAGCTGCTGCTGCCCACAATTTTGTGTGTGATTTTTTTCGTTTGCTGCAAACGTTTTGAAAGCTCGACGACGACTGAATCTTTGGCCGGAACAACTCGCACAACGAAGCGGCGTCGGCGTTCAGCAGCACAAGAAGCGGCGACTGCGGCAGCGACAGCGGCAGCGGCGTCAACTCGTCGCCGTTTTGGCTGCACGGCAACTTCAGTGTTTGTTGTTCTTGTTGTTTTTATTGCTCGCGTTTTGTGTGTGGCTTGCTTGCCGTTATTGGAACTATTCCAGTCTGCGTCTGCGTGCGGCGCTGCCAAAGCTTTTATAACTGCTGTTTGTGTTGTTGCTGCTGCTGCTGCTGCTGCTGCTGCTGCTGATGTTGTTGTTGTTGCTGTTGTTGTTCGCTCAGCTGGGCCGATAAAGGC